CATTTTGGGTAATAAATTGGCGGACTACCCATGAGGGGAGCGGCACCTCCCATATTAATTAAATACAAAAATTCGTTTATCTGGGAAACTAATAGAACTAAATTCTTAAAATTTTGCACAAAGAACTTTAACATCCATATAAACATTTTGGGTAAAAAATTGGCGGACTACCCATGAGGGGAGCGGCACCTCCCATATTAATTAAAAACAAAAATTCGTTTATCTGGGAAACTAATAGAACTAAATTCTTAAAATTTTGCACGAAGAACTTTAATATTCATCTGAACATTTTTAAGGAAAAAAGAGCGGACTTTCATCTGGGGGGCTTGGAGCCCCCATATGAATAAAATAGAAAAATTCGTATATCTGAGAAACAATTAGAGCTAGAATCATTAAATTTTACTTGAAGAACTTTGACATTCACCTGAACATTTAGAATATAACGGGCGGACTTCCAATGGGTTACTTGGTACCTCCCATATGAATTAAATACAAAATTTCGTTTAACTGGGAAACTAATAGAACTAGATTCTTCAAATTTTGAACAAATTATTTTAATAATCATCTGAATATTTTGGAGGAAAAAGGGCGGACTTTCATCCGGGGGGCTTGAAGCCCCCACATGAATTAAATTCGTATATCTGAGAAACTATTAGAGCTAGAATCTTAAAAAAATTTTACATGAAGAACTTTGACATTCATGTGAACATTTAGAGAATAACGGGCGGACTTTCAATGGGGGGCTTGGCACCACATATATGAATTAAATACAAAATTTCGTGCATCTTGGAAACTCTTATATTATTCAAATTTTTTGTAGATAGATAGAAATTGGCGATAGATAGAAACTGGCGAACTTGCAATAATTTGCTTGACATCTTTTATATGTAACATATAATAAATCTGGTATTTATTTATACATATTCCTTTTAGGGTAGCAAAGCACACTGGGTATAGCTAGTAAAAAATAAATGATGGAGAACACATCTATAAAATCATACAAACACTCGTATAATATTAGACGACACACACAAAAACATACGCTTTGAGTTAAAAACAAGAGATTGATGACGGTAATTGACTTTTATTGTGCCGTCACTTATGTTGCCTACAAGTATCCGACAGGTGTTCTATTTTGTAAAATTTATAATAAAGTTACGTTTTTATTTTCATTTTTATTTATTTATTTTTTTTTTGTTTTTTTGATGGAATATTGTTTTTACTTGTCCGGTAAACGGTAATATTAAGTGTCAATTTATCAATGTGTATATTGTGTGTGTTCTTTACTATGAGGGAGAAAGTATGTGTGTATATGTTTGCGTTAGCAAAATAATTTCCATATTTATTCCATCAGCCACAATGTGGTTCTATTGGAATGAGTTTTCTAAGTTTAGTTTGTGGTCTATGACATTCATTGCGTGCTGAAGAAACGTTACTTTGAGGAATAAAATTACCATAGTTAATGGAATTTTATGTCGAATTTTTGCAAAGAGTTTTCAACATGAGTATTTAATTGATTTGATTGTGGCCACTAAACATTTTCTTGTACGTATTTAAATAATTTTTAAATGGTTTTTTGGTGTTTATTAAAATTTATTAAAATGCAATAAGGAATATGAATGAAATTTATTCTGAATTTTTTGTTTGTGATGATATTATTATTGGGAAGGGTATATTGTATCTGTGTAGATGTTTGTATCGCATAGAGTTAATGGTTCTATATCCACCTTTAAGTATACCAATCAGCACAAAAACAACTGAGTCGGTTAAGCCATGTCCGTCCGTCCGTCCGTCCGTCCGTCTGTCTGTCTGTCTATCTGTCTATGTAAACTTTGTAATCAAACTATAGGTCACAATTTTGAAGATAATTTGATGAAATTTGGTGTACCTATTACTTTTGACCCAACGACGAAGCCGCTTAATTGTTGATATCGGTCCATTATTTCACCTAGCCTCCATATAACCGGAACCCCTAAAATGGGATTTGGAGCTCATAATTATCCCAAATATAGTATGTTTGTATATCCCTACAAAGCATAAATGATGCTTGTAAAATTTGGTAATGTGAGGCCCTTATTCGACCCAAGCCCCCTTACAAAGTCCTTTCCCGAAAATGCTTTAACATCGTTAATTCCCTTATAAACACGTGCATTTAAATAAAATTCGGCATAATTAACATTTATGTCAAGGTTTCGGTTTGTATAATACTTATTTGTTTTGAATATCATCGCTCTACTCGTATTTTCAATTCATTCATAAGCGTAAGAGTAATTTTCTAAAGGGGTAGGGTCAATTATGAACAGATACCAAAAAAAAAAATTTTGTATAACTTGTTTATGTCGAATTTCTTTGCTGTACTCGTATTTCTAAATAAACAAAACCCTTTCCTGAAGTGAACCTTATATAGGGGCTAGGGTCAGTTATAGATTAATCCTCATTAAATTCGGAATAAAGAATTATGTTCCTTACTATAAACTTTTCTACGTCGATTTTCATCGCTGTACTCATAAAATTTTCTTAAGAGGACCTTATATGAGGGGTAGGGTCAATTATTGACTGATCCCCATAACATTTTGTAGGCCGATTTTGGTTCATATAAAACTTGTTTACATCGAATATCATCGCTGTACTCGCATTTGTACGGCAGTAATTAGCGTTAAAGTGATTTTTTGAAGGAGGCTTATATGGGGGTAGGGTAAATTATGGACCGATCCTCATAAAATTTGGCAGAGAGATTTTAGTTCCTCTAAAACTTGTTTATTTTGACTTTCGTGATTTACTGGTATTTTTAAGAAAGTTGTGAGCTTTAAAGTAATTTTCCGAGGGGAACCTTAATGGGGGATAGGATCAATTATGGACCGATCTCCATAGAATTTGGCAGAGAGATTCTAGTTCCCCTAAAACTTATGTCGAATTTCGTTGCATTGCAATTATTTTGAAGCAAGTTATGAGCGTTATAGTCGTTTTCTAAAAGGGACCTTATATGGGGGGTGGGGTCAATTATGGATCGATTCTCATAAAATTTGGTGGGAGACTTTGGTTTCCTTAAAATTTGTTTATGTCGAATTTCGTTGCATTGCTATCATTTTGAAGCATGTTAAGAGCGTTATAGTCATTTTCTGAGAGGGAAATTATATGGGGGATAGGGTCAATTATGGACCGATTCTCATAAAATTTGGTAGGGAGATTTTGGTTCACATAAAAATTGTTTATGTGGAATTTAGTTGACATACTGCTGTTTTTAAACCAGCTATGACTGTTTACACCGTTTTTCGGGGGGCCACTTGTATGGGGGCTATGCCAACACATGGACCGTTATTGCCCATTTTTCAGTTATTTTTGTCCATGCACTGCTTTACATTTATCTATATATTTTTCTATACAATTTCACTTTATCAATACACAGAAAAAAGTTTCATTAAAAAAAGATTGTAGAATAAGTTCTATTTAAGAACTTATGACAGATTAGTAGATAATGGACTTTTTTCTGCAATTTTTTCATTGATATCGTAGATATTTGACAAATTATGATGTGAGGTTTTAACTTATCCGGTTGATAACACAGTGCAAGACGAAAAGCATAATCATAAGGACACCACTAAATAATATTTCAAGTGCTTCTCCAAATTAGGCGTATACTTAATATTTGTAATATCAATAAATATTTAACACGTATACGTCAGGTGTCGTTTATAAAAGCAGTGCAATTTCACAATGTAAAACTTTCAACTTGAAATTAAACAAGTTAGAGTGTTATATTCGGCTATGCCGAATCTTAGCAAACTATTTTTTATTAAAACCCATTTACCTATGTAATTTTTAGATAACTCGGCGTAAGTTTTGTGAGGGTACCATGGACTTTTTACAGGTGCTATAACCTATTATTGGCCGATATTAGAGATGCCAAACAACTTAGGAGAATGATTTATAAATGATTTATAAAACATAATCTTATCGACTTTTACAATATCTGTTCGAAATATTTCAAAAAGTTCCCAATTACATTCCAAAAAGTGGAATGGAAAAACTACTCTGAATATGAAAGACAGCTTTTAGAAACGTCATTAAGTTGGACATCAGTAATCTGCTTAGATTCCTATTTTAGTAGCCATTATTATGAGTTTTTACTGTTGCAGTAGGAATTTCGTTGAAAGAATCACAAGAATCTGCAGTCATGAACTTTTCACAAAACATGTCAATAAAATCATAATTCAACTGAGCAAGTTCAACAAAACAATACATTCAAATAATAAAAAATAAATTGCAAGATACACGAGTGAGCATGTGCTGCATGCATGTTTCTATCAAGGACCAAAAAGGAAAAAAAAACAAACTTTACAAAATTAGGACATTTAAAATACAGTCGAACAGGATTAAAATGAATGTTAACTGTTACAATGAAATAAAATTAGATTGTAAATATATGTATTTTACTTATAAAATACTTATAAAAATGGTTTTAATGAGAAACAGTATATTATTTATTTTATTAACTTTGTAAACAATTTTGGGAAAAAAAATGTTTATTGCAAAATTAAAATAACAATAATACGGATATACTAATTGGCTGGTTTTCGAATTTAACTTTTCGATTTATTTTAGTTCGTTCTAATAGTATTCGATTATACATGCTTTTATTAAGTGTTATTGCGTATTTTTTTTTTCTCTTTGGAAAAAAAATTTCCATTGTTCAAGCTTTTGTCATATACAAGAGAAAAACCAGTACATGTAACCAACAAAAACATGCACACACATACTATAAGGTCATAAACCAACACTATTTAAAGTGAATATTAAATACAGATTTAAAATTTATTGAAACGTATCTATTTGTACGTACACTAGTATGCACTTAGTTACACTTTAACTAAATCTTGAAAACTTTTCTGAATTTTCTTTTTAACGGATATCTGAAACCAGATCAAATCCAGACAACTGTTTGCAATTAAATAAAACAACATGAATAATGTACAATTTCTTCCTTTTCCATTTGATTTTAGGTGCTAATTCATGTTTTCCGTTCATTATCCTCTAACTACAAATGCATTCACAAGACATTAACAAGGCGAAAAACAACAACAACAACAACAAGAACAATATTCCCTATATTGAAAGAACAAAATTTAAATGTATCCGTCTGAGCAAAAGAATTTCAACGATAATTCATGAATAAAACAACAGCAGACACTTGAGATTTAAGCGAAACGACAACAACTACATATAACGGGAGCAGTGGCTGTAATAACCAGAAAAGCAGGCATCAGGACAGACATAAATATGGTATTTTAAAGAGCGGCAACTACCACTTGCAACAAAAATTGCAACAAACAACCAACTAAGCAAACAACATACTAGCAACTAACAACAAGCAATAAAACTTTCATAAACACGCCAAAGTAATTAGAAGGAAACTTTAACCCAATTTGCCTGCACTGAATAATACTAATACTATCAGCAACAACAAAACTATAACACTACATAGACACTTTTGCACATTTACATTCTCGTTCCAAACATAGTGGCCAACACCAACCAATAAACGAAATCATATACCATAAACATACATACATACTTTATTAAGAAGGAAATAAAATTTGCAACAACAAACTAAAAAACTACAAGAACAAGGAGCTGTAGGAAACAGAACAGCAAACACAACAACAAACAAAACAAATTTGGGACAACCCCCATTGGCCAAAGTGCATGGAATTTTCATGTGATTTAGGAAGTGCGAACGTGGGCCGAAGCCAGAGATAACAAAATGCAGAAAGAAAATAATACAACAATAGAGAATTGCCAATATGTGGGCCCATATCGTCTGGAAAAAACACTCGGCAAAGGACAAACGGGTATGTTATTTAAGAATTTTGTTTTAGATTTATGTTAAGATTATGTTAAAGTAGATTCCAACATATTTTGTGTTTATTCTTGACCATATCCGGGCCTAATGGAAAAAGTTTGTTGGTAAAAACCAAAAATGTATATAGTATTCATCAGTTCTTGGACGTAATCAGTTTTGTGGACGTAATTTCTAGGAATTTTCCAATCAAAATTCGTGATGGTGTTGATCCAATGGCTAAAGTAGCTTAGTAAAGCTGAAGTACGGCAAAAATAGTGAGGTCTGAAGACCAATTCCCTGACAATTGCTGTTGAGAAATGTAACATACTAGATTACATCCTAAGAAACCTTAAAACTCTGATCTCTTCTTTTGGAGATACATATAAAATATTTATTCATTCCACACACTGCTATTGTTTTCAACACGTCTGCTTTCATATATATGTTTAACCAATATTGCAGTTTACAAACATAGCATAAAAAGTGCAAAGTTGCTGCAATATTTTGATAAAGAAAATAAATTTGGAACAAAAAATAGGTGTATTTTCTCTTCTAATACATACCCAGCAAAAAAGTGAGGATAAAGAAATAGAATTTTCACCACAAATAACATACTTGAAGTACTTTCAATTTTGGTGAAAAACCTATGAATTTTACATTAGCGTGTCATTGGAGCGATGTTGTTCAATTTTGACAACTTTGAACTACAATATAATCCTATTTTTAGAAGCAGTAAATTTCAATATTTGGATGTCAAAAATAAACCACATTTTTTCAATGACATGCTTATGTAAATTTCATTGGTTTTTCACCAAAGTGTGATGTACTCGAATACGTTATTTGTAGTGTCTTTATAAGTTCGTCGTTCCGTGTGTAACACCAAGAAATATTCATCTGAGACCCAACAAAGTATATATATTCTTGGTCCTTATGAAATTCAAATTCACCCAAAACATTTACTATTATCCTAAGCAGTTTGGTATTGAAAATCAGCAAAATCGGTTCACAACGTAAAAAGTTATGAGTAAAAATTTCAGACTACCTCGAAAAAATTACGTTTTTTTCCCAATTTCTCAGAAACTACCAAAGATATTTCGATGCAGTGATCAATTATGTTCAAAATATTTACAATCGATTGAATATTTCCCACAGTCCCCATACAAAGGTATATATTCCCGGAAATTAGTTTATCGTTAACAACTACCTCAAATATATCGGTATCAACACAAAGTTTTGTACATGCAAATATAATATATATGAACAGAAATCATACTATCAACGTAGATCTCAGTCGGTCTACAAATGGTCATAGCTCCCATATAAGGTTCACTTCCGAAAATCACTTAAACGCACATATGTCATTGATAAAATTCGACATGTTTTGTGTACATACAAATCATTCTACGAAATTTTTTACGGATCGGTCCATTATTGTTTATAGCTCCCATATAAGGCTCACTGCCGAAAATCACTTAAAGGCATATATTTTATTTCACAAATATGTTTTGTCTACATATGAATCACTCTACGAATTTTTTTTCCGGGTAGGCCCATAATTGGTCATAGCTCCCATATAAGGTCCACTTCCGAAAAACACTTAAACGCATATATTTCATTGAATTCAAAAGATATAGGGGTAAAATTCGACACAAATATGTTTTGTGTACATACAAATCATTCTACCAAATTTTTTACTGATCGGTCCATTATTTGTTATAGCTCCCATATAAGGCCCACTTCCGAAAATCACTTAAAGGCGCATATTTCATTGTGAAATAAAGCTATCTTGATAAAATTCGACACAAATATGTTTTGTCTACATATGAATCACTCTATGAATTTTTTTTCGGATAGGCCCACAATTAGCCAAAGCTCCCTTATAAGGTCCACTTCCGAAAATCACTTAAACGCATATATTTCTTTAAATTCTAAAGCTATAAGGATATAATTCGACTTGAATAAATCATTCTACCACTATTTTCCCGGATCGGTCCATTATTGGTCTAGCTCCCATATAAGGCCGATTTCCGAAAATCACTTAAATGCACATATTTCATTATCAAATAAAGTTATCACTATACGAATTTTTTTCGGGATAGGCTACCATATAAAGTTCACTTACGAAAATCACTTAAACGCATATATTTCTTTGAATAATAAAGCTATCGGGATAAAGTACGACTTGAATATGTTTTGTGAGCATAAAAATCATTCTGCGGAATTTTTTTCCGGATCGGTCCATAAGTTGTCTTAGCTCCCATATAAGGTATACCTCTGAAAATCACTTAATACCACTTAATTCGTTATTAAATTATTATATCCGGATAAAATTCGACATGAATATGTTCTGTGTATAGATAAATCATTCTATTAAATTGTTTTCGAACTGGCCTATTAATATAAAATTTTCTTGACTTAATTAAAATTAGATTGACATATGTATATATGATAATACCCTCAATACGGATACAAAAATTTTACTTAAAAATAGCTTGCTGGTGGAGGGTATTTAAGATTCGGCATAGCCGAATATAGCACTCTAACTTGTTTTTATATCTCTTTCTTCACTTTTCAGTGGGGTTGCATTTGTAAGGAAATATTTGGTTTATAAAACCGAAAAATAAGTAATCGCATTTTTGGATGTGATTAAGATGTCGTTTGTAAAGGATGACATCAATTATTTTTTGCTGGGTAGCCAAGTATTTTACTTACATACCCCCATCTTATATTTAGTGCACTAAAAGTAATAAAAGTACCTTGCAGCAAATAAATATTTAAAAACTTGATTATTTTTGTCTCATACTTAGTATATGTACGTACATACGTTAGAGTTTCCGAGGAACAGCTTTTTAAGAATTTTATGTAAGAATACCTCTCGATGCGTATTAATGTACTGAACACGAGAAAAATAAAAAATATTTTTTTTCGAATGGTTCTCAGTTCCCTACCAGCGATTGAAAATCCTGACCTCAGTATAATTTTTGAGAAATAAAATATTATCGATTTTTCTCAGAATTTCCCTAATTTTCTGTACATTACTTACTGATTAATCTTAATATTTTTGTATTTTTTGGTCCAAAAAATGATGTTTAGTGGGTTGGAGAGGCATATTATTTTCGCTTTTTATCGAAATGGGTGTTTAAAAAATATTTTGGCATTTGGTTTAGTCCATTTCAGAATTTTTTAGAATTTGTTGAAATTTATATACATACTCCTTACGCTAAAAGTAATTTTGCGGGCTAAAAATACACAAAAATTATTTTAGTTATTTTTCCAGCGATAAGCTCAAAATTACGGAATTTTTGAGACCCATTTCGAAAAGATTGCAGAAATTTTTTTTATCATGTTGTACTGAGATCAAAATTTTTAATCTCAGGTAGGAGAAGCTTTTCAAACAAATATTGGTTTATTTTTCTAGTATTTACTACATTAAAACACATCGATTGAGAGGTATTCCTCCAAAAAAAGTGGTCCACGGGACACCCTAATGTACATATATGTATGGAATTGTTTAAAGTTTTAATTTTAAAGTACACAGGTCAATGATGAAAAAACTTAATTTTCACTAATCCCAGTGTTATTTCGTGTACAGGTTCCAAAAAATATATAAGATGGGAAAATATCATAGCAAATAAATTTTTAAAAAATTCCGCTTTTTACACCCAATAACAAATTCAAATCCATGTTATTTTTGTCTCATTAAGTTAGGAATTGTGGTCTACGTTGTTGATTATGAAATGAACAAACAAATATTTATTAACATTTTTTCGGACTTCACGCTCTCTTGAAATTCAAAATTAAAATCGGCTCAGAAAGTTATTCTGAACCGATTGGTATACTTTAAGGTGGGTGTAGGACCAATTTTTTTGGGTGTTACAAACATCAGCACAAACGCATAATACCACCCCTATAGTCGTGTAGGGTATACAAATGTGTGGTAGAAATATATTGTTGAAATAATTCTTTCAATATTTATAAATTCCCAAGAATTTATACACAAACTTGTCCTCTATATGTATGTGCATAAAATTTTAATATAATAAACATTAATATATGTAAATATATGCATTCATAACAATTACTTCCTATTTGCTTTTCTTTAATTTTCTTAACAGGTCTGGTCAAATTGGGAGTGCATTGTGTAACTGGGAAAAAAGTGGCCATAAAAATAATAAATCGTGAAAAATTAAGTGAATCTGTGTTAATGAAGGTGAGTTAAATATGTACTTATAAATAAATAAATACAAAAACAACTATGAACAAATCACTTTTTTTATTTATGTTCAAACGGTGAAATGTTGATTTGAAAATTGTTGTTAAAACACGTGTCCTAATCAATTGGCTACAACAGCAACAACAACAAAAATATGTATGTCGCCATATTGTTCTCAATCGAATTCTTGTAGTTGTTATGTTTTCAAAATTTCTTTATCCTTGTTGCGTGAGAGACGAAATAAACTTGAGGTTTAAATTTGTTGCCATGTTTTATTTTTATCACGCAATCCAATTAAAAGTAGTTTACCTTGTCCTCTATTATACATACTGCCAATCTAAACCAAACCCCATCTCTCTTTCTCTGTTGTTACTAACTCAAAGAGTTTTTCCTTAAAAGTTTTTCTTTGTTGTCGTTGTTGGTGATGGTGTAAAGGAAGTCAATGTTTCCCTTTCCTATTAAGGGATTTTAATTCTCTTATTAAGTTTGTATTGTTTTAGATGTAAGTATTTTATTTCTCTATTTTTATTTGAATATTAATTGACATTGTAATTAGTTTCGGTCAAGTATAAATTTAATGGTTCTTGAAGATACATTTTTATTATTTTTGTTTAGAAATTACATTACAATAAAATGAACAAAATCTGTTGTTATTTATGGAGCAATTAACACGGATGCTTAATTAATAAATTTTTTGCAAAACATATATTTTGCATTTTTCTATATACAAAACAGGAAATCAGTCCTTTAATAAAAAAGGGTAGGGTATATCGATTTTGTCTTGTCCTTTGTAACACAAAAGATATCTTTTTGTTTAGATTTTAAGAACATCGAGCCATGATCGACCTTCTATCTATCTATCTATCTATCTATCTATCTATCTATCTATCTATCTATCTATCTATCTATCTATCTATCTATCTATCTATCTATCTATCTATCTATCTATCTATCTATCTATCTATCTATCTATCTATCTATCTATCTATCTATCTAGCTATCTATCTATCTATCTATCTATCTATCTATCTATCTATCTATCTATCTATCTATCTATCTATCTATCTATCTATCTATCTATCTATCTATCTATCTATCTATCTATCTATCTATCTATCTATCTATCTATCTATCTATCTATCTATCTATCTATCTATCTATCTATATCTATCTATCTATCTATCTATCTATCTATCTATCTCTATCTATCTATCTATCTATCTATCTATCTATCTATCTATCTATCTATCTATCTATCTATCTATCTATCTATCTATCTATCTATCTATCTATCTATCTATCTATCTATCTATCTATCTATCTATCTATCTATCTATCTATCTATCTATCTATCTATCTATCTATCTATCTATCTATCTATCTATCTATCTATCTATCTATCTATCTATCTATCTATCTATCTATCTATCTATCTATCTATCTATCTATCTATCTATCTATCTATCTATCTATCTATCTATCTATCTATCTATCTATCTATCTATCTATCTATCTATCTATCTATCTATCTATCTATCTATCTATCTATCTATCTATCTATCTATCTATCTATCTATCTATCTATCTATCTATCTATCTATCTATCTATCTATCTATCTATCTATCTATCTATCTATCTATCTATCTATCTATCTATCTATCTATCTATCTATCTATCTATCTATCTATCTATCTATCTATCTATCTATCTATCTATCTATCTATCTATCTATCTATCTATCTATCTATCTATCTATCTATCTATCTATCTATCTATCTATCTATCTATCTATCTATCTATCTATCTATCTATCTATCTATCTATCTATCTATCTATCTATCTATCTATCTATCTATCTATCTATCTATCTATCTATCTATCTATCTATCTATCTATCTATCTATCTATCTATCTATCTATCTATCTATCTACTATCTATCTATCTATCTATCTATCTATCTATCTATCTATCTATCTATCTATCTATCTATCTATCTATCTATCTATCTATCTATCTATCTATCTATCTATCTATCTATCTATCTATCTATCTATCTATCTATCTATCTATCTATCTATCTATCTATCTATCTATCTATCTATCTATCTATCTATCTATCTATCTATCTATCTATCTATCTATCTATCTATCTATCTATCTATCTATCTATCTATCTATCTATCTATCTATCTATCTATCTATCTATCTATCTATCTATCTATCTATCTATCTATCTATCTATCTATCTATCTATCTATCTATCTATCTATCTATCTATCTATCTATCTATCTATCTATCTATCTATCTATCTATCTATCTATCTATCTATCTATCTATCTATCTACTATCTATCTATCTATCTATCTTCTATACTATCTTCTATCTATCTATCTATCTATCTATCTATCGATCTATCTATCTATCTATCTATCTATCTATCTATCTATCTATCTATCTATCTATCTATCTATCTATCTATCTATCTATCTATCTATCTATCTATCTATCTATCTATCTATCTATCTATCTATCTTATCTATCTATCTATCTATCTATCTATCTATCTATCTATCTATCTATCTATCTATCTATCTATCTATCTATCTTCTATCTATCTATCTATCTATCTATCTATCTATCTATCTATCTATCTAATCTATCTATCTATCTATCTATCTATCTATCTATCTATCTATCTATCTATCTATCTATCTATCTATCTATCTATCTATCTATCTATCTATCTACCTATCTATCTATCTATCTATCTATCTATCTATCTATCTATCTAAAGTCGATGGTCGGGCCCACACTTTTATGTAGTAACGAAGAATTGAGGGTCCTTCTAGGGTTCTTTTTTTCATTAAGGAAATTTATTTACAGAATGTAAACTAACGTTAATTTTTTAATTCTTTCAGGTTGAGCGTGAAATAGCGATTATGAAATTAATCGATCATCCGCATGTCCTCGGTCTAAGTGATGTCTATGAGAATAAAAAATATTTATATTTAATACTCGAACATGTATCAGGTGGTGAACTGTTTGATTATTTGGTGAAAAAAGGACGTTTGACACCTAAAGAAGCACGCAAATTTTTTCGTCAAATAATCTCAGCTTTAGACTTTTGTCATTCACATTCAATATGGTAATTTAATGATTTACTTTGAGCAATGAATTTATATTCCTTATAAACAATTAATTCTATTTTTGAACAGTCATCGAGATTTAAAACCGGAAAATTTATTACTAGACGAAAAGAATAATATAAAAATAGCAGATTTTGGTATGGCGTCTTTGCAACCGGCTGGTTCAATGTTGGAAACATCATGTGGTTCACCGCATTATGCTTGTCCAGAGGTTATAAGGGTATGAAAGGAATCACAACTTTAACAGTGGCAAATAACTTTTATCAATTGGTTGTAATGAATTGATGGACAGTACAAACAATTACTTGCATAGGACATACATACATATGAATATGCTGACATTTACATTTACTACAAACTTGTACATAGTAGATTTTATATACAAGTTTGTTAAACTTACAAAATATGACCTCAATTCAATACAGCAATAAACAATACAAGTCCAACATTATTTTTTTTTTTCTTTTTTTTATAGTGTTTAATTGTGGCATACTTATATTTAGTGTCTGTTTGTGTAGTGTGGCATGCCACTGAAATCCAATCGAACGTATATAAATTGCAATAAAATATTCATTTGTTTGATTCTTCTTTTGTTTTAAGGGTGAAAAATATGATGGACGTAAAGCGGATGTTTGGTCTTGCGGTGTCATCCTTTACGCACTTTTAGTCGGCGCTCTGCCATTCGACGATGACAATTTACGACAACTATTGGAAAAAGTCAAAAGGGGTGTGTTCCATATACCACATTTTGTACCACCCGATTGTCAAAGTCTGCTGCGTGGTATGATAGAAGTAAATCCAGAACGGCGTCTGACGGTGAGTCATACGTATAATATTTGTTGTTGTTGTTTTTATGTTTTTGGTAGTAAAATTTATAACAAGGAGTGTTAAGTTGCGGTTTTAACGACTTTTGTCTGCACTGCGTTTTTAATTTAGAATTAAATACTTCTTAAATCATACATGTGTAGTCAATGTAATCAATTTGGGAAAACAGTAAAATATTCTTCGTTTAACGGTTAAGTTTCAAAAGTTCAAGCAAATTTCGATTTTTTTGGTATCTATTCGATCACAATAGGAATTTGCACGTCCCAAACCTATTGTTTGACATACTTTTTGTGAACTAAAGATATGATATTAGATAATATTTGGTTTCAACCAAAAAGTTCACTTTAATAGATTTTTACTCAATCAGGACTTTGCGTGTTTAATTTGAAAGTATCATTGAACAAAGAATAAGTACCAAAATGTTCCTTTTATAGATTCTCATTTACTTCGGGATCTATGGGCAATTTCATGTCAAATGACCCAACTCAAAAAATTGATTTACAAGAAATTTGCACCAAAGTTAGTACTATTGGATAGTAGATCAGACACAAATTTTCAGCTCTATCGGTCAAGAACTGCAGGACTTAAAGGTCAAAGTTGGACATTTTTGTCATACAAGTTTTTATTTAAATGAGTGTAACTTTTCACCTATTGGTCCTAGCAAAAATTGTCCAAAGGAGTTCAGGTAGCTATTTCTTCATTGTTTCCAAAAAAAAAAAAATTTTAATAATCCAAATCGGAAGACATCGATTCACTTGACACGAAATTCTTCATATTCTTAATTTTATGTTTCTATGTTCAATATCATAAACTCAAAAAATGTCAGTTAAGGAACGAATAAAGTACCGGAATGTCCCATTTTATATATTCCCATTTACTCCACATAGTTAATTTCATGTTTCTAGGTTCACTTATATAGAAAACTCAACAGGTACCAGTTAAAGAACGAAAAAGTACCAAAAACTAGTCCTTGGTAGCAAAGAAAAAAGGAACCCATTTGCATTTTAAAATTTGTATTTTTTCCTATCCCTGCTAAATTTGTCACACACAATTCTCCATCCCTTCTCACGAAGGTGAAGGGTATAAAAACAGCAGGCTTGGGGGTAATGATTACATTTTCAATTACAATTACATTTGAAGTAATTGCAATAGAAGCATTACTAATTACGATTACTTTTAATTGTATTTGTAATTGAAGTTTTGCAAATTACTAGTAATTGCAAATAAAGTTTTTCCAAATACAATTACTTGTAATTGTTAATGTTGTTCCTTATAATTACATGTAACTTGTAATTAGTGATACCTAAATTACAAGTAATTGTAATTGGTAAACTTCAATTTCAAGTACTTGTAATTGGGAAAACTTTAATTACAATGGAGTTATTGCAATAGAAGCTTTACTAATTACAATTACTTTTAATTGTATTTGTAATTGTAATTGAAGCTTTGCAAATTACAATTAATAGTAATTGCAAATAAAGTTTTTCCAATTACAATTACCTATAATTGTAATTGATGAATATCCAATTATAACTACTTGTAATTGTTGCTTTTGTTCCTTATAATTACATGTAATTTGTAGTTAGTGATACCTAAATTACAAGTACAAGTAATTGTAATTGGTAAACCTCAATTTCAAGTACTTGCAATTGGAAAAACTTTAATTACAATTACAAGTAATGGTTTGTTGGTCTATTACACATTACAAGTTATTGTAATTGGAATAACTTCAATTACAAGTTATTGCAATTGGAATAACTTCAATTACAAGTAATTGTAATTGATTATTGCTCAATTAGACGAATTTTAGACGATTTTATCCTGAAAACATATTAATTCGGGTATTCGATTAAAAATTGTTATTCATTCGAATAAAAATAGTATTCTTTATTTGAATAATTTTTATTCGAATAATAGTTCTAGTATTAAAGTAACAAAATGACAAAATCTGTGTTATAATTTATTTATTATGTTTTGATCTGTATCATTAGAATTGTATTTACCAAAAATGGGAATCCAAAATTTTTTATGAAAGAATTTGAAAATTTTTCAAAATTTACATTTCATCTAGAAAACGATTTATTTAAATAGAACTCTTGGTAATTCAGGCAAAACCATAAAACTTAATACAAATACACTTTATTATTGTGATAAACTGCAATGATTATGGTGTAAATGTTTGAATTCTATGACAGAATGACAAATTTGTCTATAGGGTACACATACAAACAAATGAAAACATAAATCACCCATATTTGAAAGGAAACTTTTAGATATTTTGTCTTATGTTTTTAAAACAAATCGAAAAGTATAGGGATGAGCATCATCTTACTATTGACGCATAAAAGTGTAAACAATAAATGAATGATGATGATGAGTCAGTCAGTAGTCAATGCTACCAAAATAAGCTTAACAAGCTAAAAAACTAAAAAATCTGTGTGAGTAATATGTATATGTGTCTAACTATGGTTTTCTTATTTTTTTATGGGGTAGTTGGCTGAAATAAATCGTCATCCGTGGGTTACTGCTGGTGGTAAGGGTGAATTAGAATTGGAGCTTCCCATGATGGAAGTCGTTCAGACGCATGTTATACCTTCTGCTTCGGCTGTGGACCCTGATGTTTTAAATGCCATTTGTTCCTTGGGTTGTTTTAAGGAAAAGGAAAAACTTATACAAGAATTATTGAGTTCAACGTAAGTAATCGTAATTAAGTGTTTTCAAAAGTTTTTACATTTCTTGTTTTTTATTTTTTTTATTTAGACACAATACCGAAAAAGTTATATATTTTCTGTTATTGGATCGTAAACGTAGACGTCCAGCTTTAGAAGATGATGAAGAAATCGCTCAAAAATCTCGCAGTGAACTAGAGGCCGCTGATCCTCCACGTAAACGTTTAGATACATGTCGTATTAATGGTACAAACTCTACTAGTTATGGCCAAATATCTGAAGGTTCTCCCTTGACGCCTAGAAGACAAGCTTTCAAGTGAGTTGAACTAATAACTGTTGAATTGTCAATGTGTAAAATATCTTTTAGATTTGTATGTATGTATGTGAACGTATTAGAATTGTTGTTCTGTAGATTTCACTATTTTATAAGATTTTAATTTGGCGATTTCTTTAATCCATTGGAAACTATACTTATTTTGCATTCATTTGCTAAAACATGGCTTTAAGATCGAAAATTTTTCCAAACATCAGTTCAGTAAAATATCTGAATATTTAAGGTAAAGTTAGGAAGAGTGGTTAACCAAAATTACAATCAGACTTTTAAGAACAGGTCATTCTCCTAAATTCCGGTATTTTTAATAGATGGCTTCAAATAGAAAAATTATTTTTAAATTAAGAGGACTAGTTCTATAGTTCATAGGGTATAGCCGATTATATGATACTCTACATCAGTTGTAGGTAGGTAGGTAGGTTACGTGGGTTGCTCGCTAGCAAGTGAGTTCACTCGGAGGTCTCGTGGCCCATTGTCATACCCTTAGAATTACCATTCCCTAATATTGAGAGAAGGGTTTCCCTCCCTAATTTGGTTGACTACTTGGTTCGTTCGGTCTCCGTGTATACCAGCCGGTGCTTTTAATAAAACCGATCACGTTTATTAGTGACGCACCTCTGAGATAGTCTAGATCATGGAAAAGAGCTCTACTAAGATAAAGTAGTCTGTGCTCTTGTAAGGATGGGCAGTCACATAGAAGGTGTTGTACCGATTCCACTTCTACAGTAACTATAATTTGGGTAGCGCATACGTTCCGACATATGTCTAATTATACCTAATCGAGTTCTTACTAAGAGACAAGAACGTCCTAGTCCTATCTGTTGTCAGAGAGGCCAGAGCAGTCTCGATGTTCTACAAGTGATGATATTTGAATACCTGAGTTCCGTCTCACTCAAAACTCATTAATTTCTCAATTTTGATAGAGTGTGTGTAGGTTAAGTCTAGGGACGACCCTTTGGTTGCACATTCATCAGATATTTCATTTCCCCGGATGCCCTCATGTCCTGGAACTCATATCAACTAAACATGATGTTGTGTCAGTTGTGCCAATTGAGAAGACATTTCGCCTTAATAACATTGGAGTTAAGAGCCTTGTAAGTATCAAATAAAACCCGATCATTACGAAAATCGGTAGTATCAGATTTTTGTGGAATACTATTACATTCAAAGTCCTATCCGGAAGGTTCGTATTGATGATACGCGATATATCACAATATAGAGACTGTATTTCAGAATGTTTAGATAGAGTATTATATATGACTTATTAATTAGTATGAAATACTCAAACCTCTCAGATATAGATTCGAAACAGTTTAGAACAATTTAGAATCCTTGTAGTTGTATTGTGTGTTGCATACATATGCCGCAAGCCAGAGATGTAGGGTATAATAAATAATTTATCTCATATTTATTTATAATGTAAATATATCACACTTAAACATCGTTCATGCATTCTTTAGTATTTGTACATCAAAATAAATAATTTATCTTTAACACTTAAATATTTTTGTACTTTCATGAAACAAAATTTAAAATCAATCATTGTTATTCGTATATGTTCGTTGTAAATTGTCTGTTGTATGAAACACAAAACATTTACACGTCATCATAAAAAAAAATATTATTGCAAAACATCTTGTGTTGTAAAATGCTATTGCCTCTATCACCTGCTTTAAACACAACGAAACAAACACCTTCAAAATCCAAATCAAATCAAATTCACATTAACAGCTTCCGATCCTATAGTAGTACACGTAATCACCAAAGACGTTCTCCTACATCGGTTTCTACGATGCGTTCTTCTTCATATCATAGTCCAACACGATGTAATTCTCCGATTAGTTCGGCTCAGCAGCAGGCCAATGTTTTGTCCAGACCTTCGTCGCCGGCCTCATCGTCGGGTCACTCGTCACGTCATTCAACTTATGGCGATAGAGAGCGATCATCATCGGTACATCATACTCCTAGCAGTCGGACCTCATCACATTCATCTCAGGCTGGTGTTGAAGGTCATAATAGTGGCAGTAGTAATGAGGTTGTATCTCGTGAGCTGCGAGAACGAAGAGAATCACGCAACGAACGTTCATCTACAGTACAAACTAGTTGTGTTCCCGGTAGTCCCGGTGGTAATTCAGCAACAGTTCATCAAAGGGCCAATTCTGGACCCACAATCGCCATAAGTATGTTTCACGATCCGGAAGCCAATAATGGTGAGTGTAACACAATTTAGAATCGTGTAGACCTAGATTTAAATCTCTTATATATATTTTCCAGTTATGAATCCTACAACATCACCGTTGATGAATAATAGTACTGCTGCCATAACGGGTTCACCATGCAATGCTCCCGGTGGACAACTGTGGAAAACTAGACTTACCAATATTAAGAATAGTTTCTTAGGTAGTCCACGCTTTCATCGAAGAAAACTTCAGGGTAAGTTGAAAAACTATTAGTATTATAATTCAATTTTTTCAACTCTTGTTTTTATTCTACAGTTTCCGCTGATGAGGTTCATTTAACCCCAGAATCATCACCAGAATTAACCAAACGTTCCTGGTTTGGTAATCTAATCACAACTGAAAAGGATGAAACCTTTACGATTTTGGTTAAAGGAAAGCCCATTGCCACTGTTAAGGCTCATTTGATTCATGCATTTTTGTCGGTATGTTTTATCGATACATTTTTCCAAAATTGAGAGCAGTGTTTTGTTTTTTAAAATTTGATTTTTCCTTCTAGATGGCGGAATTATCGCATAGTGTGGTTTCGCCAACCTCATTTCGTGTTGAGTATAAACGTAACGGCAATGGACCGGTCATGTTTCAGCGACATGTTAAATTTCAGGTATATTAATAGCTTAATTTTAAATTCTATTTATTTATACAAAATTTTACTTCTTTAAATTTATCAGAAGTACATTTTTCTGAAATAAATTAAACAGCTCCCACTTTAATGTAAACAGTAGAATTATAGGGATTCTCAGTAGGGGAATTCAATATCTTAAAGAAATTTTCTTACATTTTATCGCTTGTCAATCACTTAAAGCCGCAAATATTAAATTGTATGTTTCTCAAAGTAAGTGACAAATTGTTGTCATTAGATAATAAGTTATACGCTTCCACGCTACATAGCAGCATATTCTGGGCGTTTTTTGGCTATTGTTCGCTTTAAACGATTATTAACTTAATGCAAGAAGTATTTTCTATGGACAAGGTCTCTCGCTGCTTGCAAATGTTTTAAAATTGCTGATGTTGCCAGCTTTTGTTGAGTATGACAACAATCACCAGTCAATAACACACTGTACACCCTTTTCGGAAATGATAACCAAAAATCATCAATCCATTTAAAATTTTTAAGGAAGTCAAAAAATACAGCTCTATTTCTATGAAATGATTAAAATAATTTTTGAACGGCTTCTGATATAAGGCTCCATTGTGCGAAAGGTCGTAAATAATTTTTGTTTGTACAAACAAAAACCTTATGTAGTATTCACTTAATGTATTATCGTCTGATGTTCAGATACTCAGTTTCCCGGACGTAATTCCTAAGAAGTTTCCAATATAATATCCGGAATAATATCAATCCCAAATCAAATGGTTTTGAGTTCATCGGATTTACTACCACGAGCTCCCTTCGCTTTTCATTTGCTCTTTTGTTGCCGACTACCCCCGAGTGACCTGGTACCAATATGATGTAAACCGTACCTCTAGGAGAGTATTCAGTTAGAGCTTTCTTACAATCCAATACGGCCAATTTTTTTAAGTTTATCAGCTTATATGACCTAACCGCCTTTTGGCTGTCGGGGAATATGTTAAGCCCTGTTGGTGCTATTTTTATTCTAATTAACGCTTTCCGTTATTGCTCGGAAGCTAGTGTTGTGATTAAATAAACGGTGGTACATTTCTGTTTCGGCGACTTTAATATAGAACTCCAGGCCCACTTTTTCCAACAGTTTAGAGCCATCCAAGTTTGCACTAATGTTAAGCTTGATCATGGCATTCTATTTGAGATCAGTGTTTCAAAGTTCCCGACATATTCTGTGTCTGCTGTGCGATAGAGCACGATGTCTGTGTATAGCCTTTCAATATGTCCAGTATATGTTTATTGAAGACATGTCCTGTAACCGCTTTTGGCCAGTTTGCCTATAGCTTTGAGCTTCCTTCGGCTTATATCTTCTATACATATGTTTCAATGGGTGGAATATCTAGCAACGTTTCCAGAGCCTTAGATGACGTCATGCTCTTGACACCATTTATACCCAAGCAGCATGTACGCTAAACTCACTGTAGTAGTTTGATATTACACTTTTTGTCCAAAGAAGTCCACCAGATTATTGAAGCATATGTTATAATTAATCTAATCACACTTTTATAAAGCCAATGAATAATAATAAGACTAAGGTCCCATTTTCTCTATTTTAATTTCCGGTCAAGGATTACACCTTACCTTTGTCTGTTACCGCTATCTTCTTGCAATTTTAGAAATTAGATTTCTTTTTTGTGAAAAGACATATTTCCATCTTCGCCGTGTTAATATTGAGGACTTTCGGTTGAGCCCAGCTCTAAGCCCGTTTTTAGAACCTATTCAGATCTTCTACACAAGTAATTTGGATCCTTTCTCCTTACCTCCTAACCTAACCATCAGTATGTACGTAATTAAAGGCTACTTCGATGTCAATGCGTACTGCAAGTGTGTACTTCATTTATCGCGGTTTCCAACGATCGTCCCTTTACATAAGTATGCTGCTTATATATGAGGTCTTTGTGTCATATACTGCTTTTAACCATGCTATTGACTATTGGCCGCTATTACTTGGAAAATTTGTGTGAGTAAGCATGTACCAAGAGCCATGAATGATGATTTTCAAGATAAATGAAAAGTAAAAATCTTAAAGTATCTGCCTACTTGAAACTAAACGAGGGTGAATCAATAAAAACAGTTAATCTCATTTAGTAATAACCTTAAGGTGTTGCTGTAAATTGTAACACATTTATCCACTCTATGCATTTCTTCTCTGAGGCCTAGGAACAGATAATTACACATTTTGCCAAGGGCGTTCATAGTCATAGTAATAAAAAAAAAACTTAGAAGGATGCTAATAAAATGAAATTAAATATAAATTTATTAAAACGTCACATGATACCAAAGTGTCTAATGCATTTTATATTCATAGAAATTTCCTTTATTATATGAGATTTTAAAATATGTATAATGTACACAATTTTGCAGAGTATTTGAGTGTTATGGGTTTGGACTACGGTTAAAAAAATTCTCAAAAAATTTAATTTTTAAATTATTATACGCTACACCACTTATTGGGGAGGGTATATTTGGTTTGTGCTGATGTTTCTAACGCACAATAATATTGGTCCTATACCCACCTTAAAGTATACCAATCGGCTTGGAATCATTTTCTGAGTCGATTTAGCTATGTCCGTCCGCCTGTGCGTCTGTCAGTCCGACCATGTAAACCTCAAACTACAGGTCGCTATTTTGAAGATAATTCAATAAAATTTGGTACATGATCTTCTATTGTCATAGGGACGTAGGGGAGGCCTATTGAAAATGGTTAAGATCGGTCCATTATTTAACCTAGCCCCCATACAACTGAACCTCCGAATAGGGCTTGTAAACCTTGTAATCAAACTACAGGTCGAAATTTTTAAAATAATTCAATGAAATTTGGCACACGATCTTCTATGGTATCGGAGACGAAGCTTATTGAAAATGGTTAACATTGGCCCATTATTTCACCTAGCCCCCAAACAACTGAAACCGCCGAATAGGGCTCCTAAGTTCATAATTATGATTAATATACTCGTATCTCGACAAAAAGCTGCAAAACCAAGTTCTATACTAGCCTTGATGACCCTCAAAAATTTTATAGTTATAGAGTCTCATTTGACCATAGCCCCTATACAAAGCCCCCTTTAATATTTTACTTAAATGTCCACAATTTTATTCAACAATAAATGGCTTAAGTATATCTTAGGCAAGGTACAATTCAACTTAAATGCTTTATTATGAAAACTAAATCACATTTTAATTTTGTAACAGTGGTAGGGTATTATATGGTCGGCCTCGCCCGACTATAATTTCGTACTTGTTAAATATCCTGTCCTGATTGTTTTCAATAACTTTATAAAGAATATATTTTATTATACATTTTCAGGTTGATATTAGTGCTATTTGCAAACAGGGTGATGTAGCAGATATGTTATTTGCTCTAACATTTACACTATTATCGGGTAAATAATCTCAGAAATGTATATAAATTATAATGGAAATTATAACTATTTAATATTTACTTTAGGTAATATAAGACGATTCCGTCGTATTTGTGAACACATACAATCTCAGGTATGTTCGAAACGTTTTCCGGGACCTAGTAGTCCGCCTACAGTACCAACTGTTACCCAAGCAGTATCAGAGAGTTCATCTTGTGGTTCCGTATCCAGTGAACGTTTGTCCTATAAGAGACAGGTTTGAACTAATTTTTGTTTAAAAAGGTTGAGTAAATAATGTTATAATTTATTCCCCGATTTAGCAAATCGAAAATGATACAGAAAACGATTCAATATTTACGTACAAATCTGGCAATAGTCGTCGTTCATCGGCCACAAATAATAATAATGCCAATCCTATCGATATGCCTGGTAGTCCCATTGCGGTAAGATCCAAGTAAGTCCACTCTATCTATCTATGTCTCTCTCTCTCTATCTACACACACTTAAAGTAGTGATTAAAAGCCACAGGCCGCAGGCCGTGGAGCACCAAACCAAAATATAAACACACACACACAAAACAAATAATGTGTCTATTTTGTTAGTTCCGAATCAGCTGAACAGGAGCGGTCACGTGATATCCAGAGTGAGCGTCAGGCGACAACAATGTCCGGGAGTGCAATAGCATGAGAATTATTTCTCTGATTTGGTTCAAGTTTTATACAAATTATTTATTTTCCACAAATCTACCAACTTTTACTTCAGGTTTAAGTATTTCTACACAAAAATCTCTTTCACACACACACACTTATAAGTGAAATTAATTAATAAAATAAAATAAAAAATTAAAACTAAAAACAACCAAGAAAACCAGAAATTCTTAACCATTAATAGTATTCAAATTTTTTTCAAAAACAAAAATAAAAACTAACCAATAAAAACCAAAAAATAAACACAAATTAAGAAGCAATAAAAACAATTTAATCAAATTTTCTTAAGCCTAAATAACAAAAAAAAAAAAAAAAAAACAACAAAGAAATTGTGAAAAAAAACTTTATGCATTTAGAACAATTTGTGTTTTAGAAAAACCAAAAAAATCATCATCATATTCACCTTTGATGAGTAGAAAAATTGCATAATAAAACAAATTGAAGATAAATATTTTTTATAATAAAATTTGCTTTTAAACTAGAGGACAAATTTTCATATAAATGCTTGTTAAATTAAAAGAAAAAATAAAAATAATAAAATACAAAAATAGTCAGTTGAAAGATCACCAAAAACAATAATTATTGCTTCAACTCAATGTCGATACATTTGTACTAAATACTTACAAACACTTGATAATATTTTCTAACTTTTTTGGGTTTTCTACTAAAAATTTTGAGCTCCTTTTTTTATTTTTGTTAAATTTGACTTAAACATTGTTGCCGCCGAGCCGTAAAAATAAAAAACTTAAGAAAAGAAGAAAATGCTTAAATAAATTATTAAATGGGTGGGCTGCTTTAGGCCTACCCGAGAATATACTTATACTTACATATACCTAATAATTGCAGTGCAAGTCGTTGCATGGACTTACACACAAGAAATAAACTTATTATAAAGTTAAAAGCTAAAAAAATTACCGACCAGTGATTATTTGATCGACAGAATCAGATTGATTGTAAATTGATGAAAAATCTTTTGATTTATATGTTGTTGTATGTATGTATAACTAATATACTACATAACCTAACAAACAAACAAATTCTCGTATGTAAGTGTTAAAACATATACATTTTTACATAAATTAAAAATTGTATAAAAAAATTTGTATATTTAAAAGTGAAATGAATTTGAACTCAGCAACAACAACACCGAACTAACCAATGTTGAAGCATTGAAATTTGTTGTAAAAACGAAATTATTAATGTTGAGGAAAACCAAAATAAAAGAGATAAATTTATAAACATTAAACGAGAAAAAAAAAAGAAAAATATTTTGAATAACAAAATTAATGAAATCTATATACAAACTAATTAAAAGAAATCATGGAATGTATGAATACGTATGTTTGATTGATCGGATACGAGTTTTGAAGTCAAAATACATATATAAATTCTACAAGTGTAGTATTTAATACTCATTAAACTATAAATTATACATAGAATAGATTGTTTTTACTTTTGTCTTTTTATTGAAATAATTTGTATAAATTGCATGAATAATATGAATAATAATTCACATAAATATCGAAATAAATCATCAAACACAAAATGTTTTTTTCTCTTTTTTTTAAATAAAACTCTAATAGATATTAAGTGATTAATTTGTTTTAAATTTGATTTATTATTAATATTTTTAGACATTTACATTTGAGCACAGTGTTAGACTTTTGATAAAATATAGTCATAATATTTCATTATATTATTTTCGTATTAATCATAATATGATCTTAAAACATCATATTATAACCCAACATTATCATAACATTGTCATACATGATAATATGTTCTGAGGTAATAATATTATGATCCATAGTAATCATATTGTGGTAAAACACTCATATTATAGTTAGAAATAATTTTATTATGGCTCTTAGTAATCATATTATGATTCAAAGTTATCATATTATAATCCGAAATTCTTCTACTAAAGTAAACATATTATGGTTTAAAGTAATATTACGTATTATGGTTTAGAATAATCATATGATTAAAAGTAATCATATTATGATCGGAAATTCTACTACATAAAGTCATTATGTACGATCATAATATGATTACACTGGATCATAATAAGATTACATTGAATCATAATATGGTTACTTATTATTATATATTTATTATTATATTGTTGTAGTATAATAATAATAATGTATGTATAATAATAATGTACTAACATTGTCATACATGATAATAATATGTTCTGAGATAATCATATTATGGGTCATAGTAATCATATTATGATGCAAAGTTATCATATTATGATCCAAAATTCTTCTACTAAATTGAAGATTTATGGTTATAGTCTGAACATATTGTGATCAAATATTTTATTATAATATTATTTTATTATAAACCAATGTTATCATAGCATTGTCATACATGATCACAATATTTTCTGATAAATTATATTATGGTCCAAAGTAATCATATTATTGTTTAAAGTATATAACATAGTTTAAAATAATCATATGATTCAAAGTAATCATATTATGATCCGAAATTCTACTACATAAAGCCATTATGTGCGATCATAATATAATAACACTGATTCATAATATGATAACACTGAATCATAATATGATTACATTGAATCATAATATGATTACTTTGGCATGCAATAGCACATAAATCAAATATTGCACCTAAATAGACGGCTATATAGGGCCACCATTATTGGGTCCAGTATTCATTAGAAGTAATGATTCGGTGCAAAATTATTTTATTTCATAGAGTTCAAGCAGAAATTAAATCTTACAAACTTTTAAATTTTTTTCATAAAAAAAGTCCCGATAAGGCACATTAGTCCTTGTATATACCGTGCCATTTCTGATTTGTAATTGTCGGAACGTTACCGATTTTACGTAGGATTTCATAAAACGTTTAGGCAAAATCGGCAATGGGTTCCGTGTTGTGAAATAAATATCTCAAGAGATTAAATTTTTGTTGGTGTTTTAAATTTTATCCAAAATTTTAAATTTGTATTTAAATAATATTAAAAATTGAGTATTGCTAAAAAAATATATAAAAAAGTTAAAATTGTGCACTTTAAACTTTAACGTAATTTTTAACCACCGCAAAAAAAATAATTTAATTTTTAGTGGTCTATTTTGAAATTTCCAAAAATATAAAAATATTATAAAAATTTTCTAATTTTATTTATTAAAATATGTTGTTTTCCTTCTTCAATTTATACAATAACATTTTACAATTATTATTAGCTCATTGATTTTTGAAACTTAAAATTCATAGGTTGTCTAAAAACTAGGGATGTCATTTAGCTTTTTCTTTAATACCATATTTTATTTAAAAATCCCGTTTGTGAAAATTAAAAAGAATGAGACAAATGAAAAATATTTGCATAATGAAATTACCATACAGTATTTTTATTCTTAAATGAACTTAGAAAGAAATTACCCAGCCAACGGTTTCCAATAAATTTTAACCTTTTTTGTTTAACTACTCCCTTGTTATATTTACTAATTTAAGAATATAATTCCAATAATTTGCAAATGATAGACTTATAAACAAAAAAAATATATTAAAAACCAAAATAAAGAGAGAAAAAAGGAAATAATAAGAGACACTAATACAAATATGATCCAATCAACATACCGTCCATTTTTATATCAGTTTTTTTCATAAGAACCCTTTGGCCATACACACTACGACACAAAACTAATACACATACACTAAACTTCATAAACAAATTTTAAACAAAAATTATAATACTAAAAATTTACTGTGAATAATAAAGCAAATAAAATTTAAAATTTAAAACAGAAAAACAATTTATACAAATTATTTTGTAAAATATTTAAAACTCACATGCAATTTTTTGGTCTTCGTATTTGATTAGAAATTTTTAATTTATTAACAAAGCAAATGTAGTATTATTAAAAAATAACCAACAAACACTTAAAACCCCACTAAGAAATGTTAAACTATATAGAAGATTTAAAGTTTTAGATTAAAAAATAATTTAAATAAAAAATAAATATTGATCTAACAAAAACTTAAACAAAATACCAAAGAAATTTCAAAAATATTAGACACTCTCTAACTGAAGATGAATAAGAAAACACACCACACAAGGAGTTATAAATATTTATAACAAATAAATAAAAATATAAAGTATTAACAATAATTATGATTTATGAAAACATTTCTCGTAGTATGTTAATTTCAAGAATTTTATGTATTAATTTAGTTTCACTAAATCTGAATGAAAACTATTATGGTTAACATATATTTTATTATTACTTTAAATTATTTAAAGAATAACGAATATAATTACAAACTTATTATGATGATTATTATTATTATTAGCAGTAATAAATTTTGCATAGAATTAATTTGTAAATATACATACAAACAAACAAAACAAAAACTACAAATTACTTTGAAAATATTTTAAATTTTGTCAAAGCAAAGCTCACCGAACGTTTAAAAAGAAATATTTATGTTGCATCATTAAAAAAAACATATTTATATTATAATACAAACATACAAATAAACATAAATACATAATGTATATGTAGTATATATACCCAGAGAAAAAATGGGATGGGAAATGATTACAGCAGTTATTTGGAAAATTTTGTGAAATTCAACAATATTATGATCACTATTTGCAGTTGACACAACCGTGTTATGTTTAAATTTAAATCGACATGATTGGTGCAATCATTTTAAAATATGAATTTAACTCAGTTTTTCACAATGAGTTGCTCTCATAATTTTTAACAATTAAAGTAATAAAATTGATTGCGACAAACATATATTCTGATGTCTGATGACATTCTATAAGTCCTACAGACAAACGATCACAATATGATTTTATTAACAGTAATAATTGCAATAAATATAGTTACACTGATGTCTGAGATTATAAAGTCAGCGGATCTTAAGTATTTGGTTTATTTTTAAGTTTATCAGATCATTGTGGTTCAACTAGCTGATCAATTGAGGGTTCAGAGTTCCTTAAACTCTCCTCAGGCATGTTGACAACACAACACTGTCCAGTATAGGTGAATTTCTGTTGTGCAGTTCTAAATTTCTCTTCAAAACTGTCCCACCTAAGTAGACATTACATAAGCTGCTTCACAGTTGCTCAGTGGTACTGAGGGGCATTTGATCTGTTCGCCAGTTTCACTGAACAAAGGTGCTTGTAGAGACACCATGTTCAGATTGGAGTTCTAAAACTTTCTTCTAGGTTGTCTTCGACTGGTGGAATTGATATTCCCGCATGTTAATAGCGAATTACAGGGGCAGTAGAGCTGTTCACCAGTTTTCCTGGGGGAAGTAGAGACACCACAGGAGGTTTTCGTTTTCTGAAACTTTATAGTTTAGTTTCAACCCTTTCCTCAAAGTTATCTCAAACCTATGTAGAT